GATATGGAAAAAAAGCCTTTCACCAGCCATATGCAGTTTTAAAAAACCCCCTAATTTTATATCCTGCCTAAGTCCTCGTTAACTGATGTGTGTTGTTATTAATGACTGAGAACAGCCATTTCCCCCTCACACGCTGATCACTACTGAGTACAGGCTCTGGCTCTGACAGATCTGCTTGCAATGTTGATTTAAATTCCTTCCAAAAATTTCACCAGTTCTAGCTGTCACTTAGAAGATGCCAAATTAAAGACAATATGAGTATAGCTTCAGAGGTTTTGGTCTTAGATACTTGGTTCTGGTGACACAGTTATTGATACTATCAAGTTGGATACTATAAAAGGACTTTAACAAGTAATTATATGATGCTGCTGTGTATATAAAATTTCCAGTGATGCAACCTCACACAACTTGGGATTTGTGTATTTTATACTTAAAAGCAAAGTGATTATTTAATGCCTGCAAAACTATAGTCAATTCAGTGTTGCTATCAAAGGGAATAAAAATATAATCAAAAGGGAGCTTTTAGAAAGAATTCAGAAATATAATGCTCATAAGCTGTTTTGTAATGTGTTAAAGCACAGTTTAACATGTGTTGCTGGTTAACCATGCACTTTCAATTATTGCACACCCCCATCTTTGATCCAAAAAAATTATGGCATTATTTCTCTTAGGGGGGTGCTTTCCGTTGCTGTTCAATAAAGGAAATGGATTCATTTGTGCTAAACAAAGAAAAAAGGCAGGGATGGTGGCAATACTGCTGCAGGGGGGCAAACTCTAGTTCAGTGGCAGTGCGCAGATGAATAACGTGTGGGTTTGGGGAGATGTCTCCGTGTTGTTCTGCTTCCCTCTGCTGGAGTGCGGCTGGCTCCTGCCCGGCTCCCAGCCAGGCTTCGGGGCAAATCCCAACCCCTGGAGCAGAGCCGGAGCTGGCTGCCTGGGCAAGCCGCTTCTGCAAACTCATTTATTTATTTTTTAAAGGTTTCTGCTCTGGTTTCGGTTTTCTTTCAGAAGGCATATGTAGTGCAGGTCTGTGCACAACACGGGGATCCTGGTCAGTGCAAGTCGGTGGCTGCCTGTCTCTGTCTGCATGTCTCAGCTTTGAGACTAGTGAATAATATTTTGGGTTTTTCAGTGCTGTGTGGGGTGTCGATGCCCAGTTACTGTTCGTCTTTATAGGGATGCTGCACCCATATACATCATTACAGGCTCTGAAACTCCAGTCTGTTGTACTGGAGTTGAATTGCAGAGTGCTGGCTAGATTTCTGCCAATGTAAAGGTTCTTCAAAGACAAATACTTAAATGTCTTGTGATATCGATTGCCCAGTTTCCCATTTAATTATACAATATTGTGTTCAGCTGTACTTACAAAAATGGAGAATTGTCTTAACAATAGCAGAGAATTCACTTTTTAGCATGAAAATAACATGAATTTTAATTGAGCATATCATTCATCACTGCTTAACGAGTGCTTTCCCATTGCTTTCCCATTGCCATTTTTCCCCCTTCATAATTTTGATGGATTTTGGAAACAGAAGTGGGTTTTCCCTTTAGAGTTTCACAATTAATCTATGCCAAGTTTAGTGCAAAGTTCAATTCTCTTGCAAATAGCAGCCATTATTTGGCAGTTCATCTGTCATATCCTGGCTTGGCTCCCTGTGTTTACTATGAAATATGACTGCCAGCTCTGCTTCAGGAATTATTGAAAGTTTACATTGATTAAAAGGGGATATTTGAAGAAAATTTACAGGAGCTTACCTCTAACTTAGTAGTTTACCACTAGCAGATAAATACTAAAGACGATGCTATTTCTTCAATAATGCATATAAATCATTTAATGCATATTTAACATTGGGAAGTATTAAACTACATTAACAACTAATAAGTTAATTGCTGTTAATAATATAAGTAATTAGTACTAATAATATAGTAATTATTACCAATACAGTTACTTACAATTAAAGTGTAAACTGTGGATTCAGGGGTAGTTCTAAGTTCATGAGATAATATAGGGAATCAAATAAAAAGGCTTTATCATCTATAATGGGTGTAGAGAGATCTCTTGGCTTTCTCTCTGTTCTTAGACTTACTCGCAAAATAACGTTTTGTATACTTCAGTTTACCAAAAATTAAAAAATGCATCATATTGAAACAGAAAATAGGATTAAATACTGATGAAGAGTGCCCTCTCTTATTTGCTACCTTTTAAATGTTTTTTAGGTTCTTCTATTTAGTACTATTAAAGGGATTTTAAAAGAGATTTCCCACATGCAAGGTTTCCATTTCAGAAGTAGTTTGGTACTCTTTTCCTTTGTCCTCTTTTTTTATGCTCTGCCCAGAGTAAGTGACTTCATGTGTGCATATATAATAATAACTAGTAATAGTCAGGACATACTCGCTACTCTTTAAAAGAATTTATATTGAATTGTTCATTTCAAACATCATACAGTAGGCATTTTCACACAATGATCGAAAACTAACATTTATTATAGAAAGCAAATGATGATTCAAATTATATATATCGAATCATGCAGGGCCAACTTCAAAGTTTGATCCAATTTCATTTATTCATCTATGTGACTGGTTTTATGTCATTGTTTTGTAAGAATGCTTTTGCTGGTATTTTGTAGTTAGGCGCAGGAGAACATGGGCCTTTGCTCATGGTAGTGAGTGCAGTATAGTTGTACTTACATGTCACAACATTTTTAAGCCATACGCACACCCCTGCTTAATTTAATTACCATGTATATTCCATTGATTGGAATGGAATTATTTGGTAGTGCTTGTTATATAATTTCAATATAATATACAGGTTCAATGTATTTAGTAGACATTCACTATAATAGTTTCCCATAGCTCTTTCCCCTCTATATCATTACTTTATACTCATAAGTACCACTTATGTCAGATGTTAAACACAACTTTAAAAATCTGTTTATTCAGTGTCTTTCTTAGAAGCTGTGGGTTTTGTCCTTTTCAGCAACAGATGTGTTTACCAAAGTAATATTTAAGGGTATATATTTACAAGGCAACAAGTCCCCTTGTGTCTTCTAAACAAAACAATTTAAGGAAGAATTAGCTTTGAAAATGTGTTTTAAATTGTTTGGAAGGATATAGTCAGAGCCAATCCATGAGATAACCCTTCAGTAAAGCAATGTTCCCATGACCCTGCACCACAAGACCCAGTGGCTATATCTTTAATAAATAATGAAACAGATGTTCTCTGGAGCATTGAATGTCATTCCATTTAGGCTAACTGTGTTTACTAAATAAATGTGGTTGTTAGCAGTTTGCATTTGGTATCTCAGGCTGTGTAACAAACAGAACTAGTGAAATAATCTTAATTTGAATTCTTGATGTAAAGTCTTTACTCATTATCCTGTACAGTTTCTGTCTGTGCAGTGAAAACTAGTGGTTATGGATTCATCATAAAACTTAGAATCAGTACCAAAAAAATTTCACACATAGAATGCTTACCAAAGTAAAAAAAAGAAAACCTTCACAAAGCATACTTTAGCAAAATATTAAATTCTGAAGGCAAGATTTTGCATTCTCATAGTCATATTTCTATGATAATTACTGTTAGAAGTTCCCAAATCTCTTTAATTTCTTGAGAAAGCACTTGTACTAGAGGAATCTTTTATTTTTGAAGAGTTAGCGGGTTTTCCATTTTGTATAACATGCTGTGCTTTGCTTTTGATTTTTTTTTTTTTAAGTTTTTATTGGCAGATGCAAGTTGCAAAGTTAGTTTCTTTTTTAAGACAATTTGTTCTTATTTAAAGGTATATCAATATAAAATGCAAACAGAAGAAAACCAGTTTGATGTCTCTTTTTGCAGTTATGTTTTTAAGGATGTTCTGATGCATGGAAGACCTGGCATTTTATAATTTCCATGATCTTTCTGTAAAGAATGTTTGCGAGAATTGTCTTCAAACCCCGATGTATTTTTTAAATGAAGAATTACTGCTCTTCCCAACTTCTGATCAAGATTGTGCAGTGATAGGTTTGACTAAAATACAGTTGGGGCTGGAAGTGGTCATAAAGGATATCAAAATACAGGTGATATGCACAGAAGGACAGGGCTATCACACTGTTTATGTTGGCAATGCACATCTCCAAGTGTTGGGAACAGGCTGCGTGAGCGGGGTACAGAAAGTTCTGTGCCTGCGTATTTGTGGAATGAGCCTGACATGGGTGAACATATTGAAGATGTGATCTCTTCCTTTTATATCAATGTTCTTGGTTTTCCAAAGGGGACCTCTACCCCTAGAGAAACAGCAAATGTATTTGGATGTGTCATACATTTAAGTGATTTGAGTGTATTCCCTTTCACTGGTCCTAAATTAGAAACCATTCCCAGGCTGCTGGTGGCCTTAAAATGTCCTCACTCGAAGTTTCTCGGTTTGAGAATCAGATGGCAATCTGTAAAATATTTACTACATGCCAAATTAGAATTCGTTCACTTTCATTTACAATAGTATAGATTATAAATTTGCAACACTTCAAGATGATCCCATCTTTAAGATCCTGATTTTACAGTCGTTTGACTTGATTTCAGATTAAACCCTTAACAGTTTCTTCCCTTCTCTCCTGCCATATTTTGTGTCACCATTCCAGAATGGTGATGATAACACACTGTAAACAAGCAGGCAGTGTATGGCACTTCAGCCACAGGCTGAATGCCGTCATTGTACCTTATGTATATATGCAGTCAGTAAATGGAATTTTTCGTGTAGGTGAATCACAGGAACAAGCCTGTGTTCTCTGAGCCAACGTACTCTTTTCTTACAACACCAAAGCAAAGGAGAATTAGGAACTGAGGCAAATGTACCTGCACCAATGTAGGTACCACTATAAGGGTTGTGAATAACCTGCATGCAGGAATATATTTTTCTGTAGCAGTTGCAGAGCTGGAAAGTTTCGAGCATTTGAAGTAACATATTAAAAGTTTGTTAATCTTCTTTTTTATGACTTGAGAATCTTTTTTCTGTTTTTTCCTTCAGGATCCCAGAAGCAAGCACAAATTTAAGATCCACACATATGGGAGCCCGACCTTTTGTGACCATTGTGGGTCACTGCTTTATGGGCTTCTGCACCAAGGGATGAAATGTGACAGTAAGTGAACTTTTTCTATGTTACCATGAGGGTATTTTAGAAAGTAAGTGGCAACACTGGGTAGCAACTTCTTATTTATTTTCTGTGGAAAATACCATTTCAAATGTCAGCTATTTATAGTACTGTTACATTTCAAGTGGATATTTCAGTACTATAATAATATACTAATGAAAATCACCTTTGTTGCTGAGAACATGGTGTATTCAGTTTGATGTGGATGAAAAGCCTTTGCCAGTTTTGAGAAATCCTTTTTTTTGAACTGGTCAGGTGAATGCACTGTTGAAGGCTGACATTTCCATTCAGGTAGCTAAGGTCCAATATTCTCCTTGTGTTGCATTTGTCTGGGAAATCTCCTGCTAGAAAAATCTAATAATCAATTTAAACCTAACTCCCTTCATTGCTAATGCTGGCACGGATGCTCTGTTTTCTTAGTCATATTCCCAGCAAGTCTTCATTCCATTTTCACTTTTTTTTCCTCACACCTCATTAATGATATCTTTAGGTTTCTGAAGTAAATTATTTTATTCTGTGTTTCATTTACTCTCTACAAAATGTATTGGAAGATGGAAACTAGCCATGTTGTTCAGCTGAAAAACATGCAGCTGTAATCTTGGAAGTCTTGACGACAGTTAATAATTATAATCTTAACTTTCACTTTGCTCAGTGTTTGTAGTGTAGTCATATTATTAGCTGCTCATAGCTGTCTGAACCATTTTTATATCTACAGCCTGTGATATGAATGTTCACAAGCAATGTGTAATAAATGTCCCAAGCCTCTGTGGCATGGATCACACAGAGAAAAGAGGAAGGATTTATCTGAAAGCTGAAGTCACTGGTGACAAACTGGAAGTAACAGGTAAACGCTCATTTTGGAATTTTGCAGGCTTTATAAATGTATAGTGTAGACTGTGTGTTTATGTACCTTGGTCAAATCTTTGTGTATTAAAGCCAGCAATGGAGTATTTCCCTTCAGAAGTGTGAGAATGTCATTCAACATGTCCTTGAATCAAGAACCTCTATGAACTGTTGTTCATAAAAATAAATAGAAGAACAAAAGCTGTAGTAATAGCTTTAAAACTTCAGCAATATTAATGAGAAAATCACTGTAGTGTCAATTTTTCACATAGAAAGCAGCCCAATAGGGCAGCTAGCAGTTCAGGAAGTTAGCTATCATCTTCAGAACACAAGAAATACTCTAAACTTTCATCAGCTGAGGAGTTGTTTCCTTCGTTTCAGAGTATTTAATAAACAAAGGCAGCTTGGATTCAATCCCAAGTATTACTCCCAGTGAGTAATAAAAAAATAAATTATCGCATTCTGTAAGGTTAAGGTTACCAAGATAGGAAGGAGGGAGAGAGAGGAAGGAGAGGGTGGCAGTTCGTTTCCTTGGAAGTGTTTCTTCCCGGATTTATGAGCAAGTTCTGGTTGTGCACACACACGCACACACCCGCCACCCCCACCAACCCATTCCAAGTCTGAAGTTGCAGAAAATATACTGAAAAAAATTTTTTTTTCAAGTTGAAGGACTGTTTTGTCCTGCGAAATAGACATGTAATATGTTGTTTAACTCCAACAGGACTTCCTTGTCCTGTATCAGAGAGTGGAGTTTATCAGTCAGGATCTGCATAAGAATTTGTATTTACAGCATGTTACGTTTGTTCTGTATGTGCTTTCTATTTTAGCTGGGGTTGACTGATGATTAGTGTATCTGATATCTGAAGTGTAAGGTTGGTAGTGAACTTTAGTGTTGATTTTTCCTTTCTGTTGAACACAAATATGCAAAAAATGTTCTTTGCCAATCAGATTGCAGTGTATTTACTCAAAGGGAGAGCACAGGGCACGAATTAAGATGGACAGGAGTGAAATAAGGGAAGGAATAACAGAAAACTTTGTTCATGTGTATTTTTATAGGCAGAAGTCTGTAAAACAAATTAAATTGTAAAAGAAAGTCCCAATTTTTTATGGCTCAAAACCTTAAGAAAATTTCAAATACATGCTGTAGTAACTAAAACCAAAATAAGCATGATATAATGTAGGAAATGGAGTAGAAGACATTCATAAAAAACAAATTATGAAAAGCTTTTACCTCAGGAGAGTGGGTTGGTTAGTGTGTTGTCACAGGTGACCAACACTGCTTCTTCAGTGAAGAAAACTTAAAGGCAACAAATCTTAATGCATCACGTTAGAGGTACACAGTGAGACATCTTTAAAATTGGTACTGCAAGAAACCAAATTCAGTGTCCACACTATAAAACAAGAACAGGGTACAATGCTTTTATCGTTGCCTGTTTGGTATTGCAAAATGGAATTAAATTCAAGAGCAAAGTTACAGCGGGGCAAAGTAGGAGGTTCCTTAGGTTCTCAGCTTCTGCCTTTGTTTCTTGATGTTGTTGTTGGCAACCTGTGGATGTTGGCTGTTGTGTATTGCTTCAGCATTGCTCAGTTGAAAGGCTACAGCCTATTATGCGAAAAGGATGTTCCTTCTACCTCTGCACTTCTTTGGAGAATGAGCCTCAGTAAAGACCATACCCCGTGCAGTCAACATAAAGGAAATCAGACCATCATGTTGAGTTTTCACAGCTTATAGAACCAGCAAGCTTCCCTTCTGGCACTGTATTCATTCATGGCTTTGTTCTCTCTAAATCCGAATACCTCCATATTCTCCTGTCAAACGTTGTAGAAAGCATTGAAAAGTATGATAAAATTTAGTTAGAAAGGATCAGAACAGATCCCAAGTGATACTGAATTGTAGCTTAACTTTCCAAATAGCTTCCTGTCGATGTAGGAGGGGTAAATTTGTCCAAGGTACTGTCATTAACAGAAAGGTGGTTTCACTGAGTAGTGAGGCATTTCAGGGATGGTGATACAGGTTCTAAAAGTAATTGTACCATGAGAGAGAACTAATTTGAAAATCTTCCAAGTGACAAAATTTAATATTTACATTATTCTAGCTCACTCTGCAGCAATGTTCTTAAATATGGCTTAAACGTTCAACTATAATGCACTTAATTTGATGAATAACATGTACTTACTTTCTGATGATTCAGCAGGTTTATAATCCTTTGGGGGACAAAAATGTTTGTCACAAGTTTTTGTGGTATCAAGGCACTATAAAACAGTTATACAAATAGGTATTCTTTTACTTCAGAATTTTATTTGAAAAGATCTTGTCTGAGATATGAATATGGTTAAATTGTTACAGACATTTTGTAGGTTTTCTTCATAAGCTCTTTTTGGTGTAAGTGTACTTGGCAAATGCTGTTACTTTTGTGTTTATAAATAAAACATTTCCATCCCACAATTAAGTAGGTTTCTGGACAACAAGAAAACTGTTTACTATAACCTTGTTATGTATGTAACAAGTATGGTGCTATTAAGTTGTGTTGGTTGAGACTTATCAGTATTTCCAAGCTTTCAGAAAATTTCTTTAAATAAAAATGATAGTTGCCCAGAAAGTAAGCTGATTTTTTTTTCTTTAATAAAAAAATACTATACAGACCAAGTTTTAGGTACCATTTGTGCATGTTTAACTGAGAAGGAAATTAGCAGTTGCCAGTTAGTTCATGGATATATTGCTATGCAAAAATCTTGGACTTTTCTCCCATTACGACATTGCTTCTAAAATATTTATTCACAAAGCCTTTGTTAGAATACACAGTTCCCAGAACTGCCAAGCACAATACCACTGCCTTAAGCTTCGGGAAAGGAGGTGAATTAAATGCCCAGGAGGACTAGGAACAGCAGGAAAAATAATCAATGATTGGCTGTTTGGTTTGAGCCTTTGCCTGAATCTTTTTCAAAGGAATTACTCCGTAGGTGTTGAACTCCTTCAGCTGAATTCCTTAATATCTCTGCTCTACATCCTGTTTTGGTTGTTAATTAGCTCCTGCTGACTCTTTTGTAGCCAGATTTGATTCTGTGAAAAACATTTGTGCTGCTAAATGCAGATGTGCCACTCTGGTTGGCACCTTGCAAATACCTTCGATGGGCAGCTCACCCGGCGCGGTTCCAGCCAGGAAGGCCGACGGAGGGCGCAGGGCAACTGCAGGACACGGGCGCTCGGGGGACGCTCTTCAGTTCATTGCAGTTTGTCTTTACTTCTGCGTGATCGCTGTGAGGGTTTTGTGATGATGCCTTTTGCTTCTGAAGAAGGCCACAGCATATGACCACTTACTGAGTGTTTTCCTGATAAAATATTGTAAATAGTACTGTTTTGGTTTTTTTTTTTTTTCCCAGTGAACAGTAGGAAAGAGGCAAGGCAGACTACTGCCAGATGGAGCTGGCCAGTGGTTCAGTCAGATTTTCTAAAATATCTAACACTTTGGCAGGTTTTGAATTGAACTAATGGTGGGCATGATTCAGTCCTATATGTAAACATACTTAATTCCAGTTTACTAGGTCAGATCTTCAGTCTGGGTTGCTTAAAGGTGGACATACAGCCTTTTCTGTGTGAATGCTGGAGACTCTGCAACACTTTGTCACAAATAAGTAGGAATTTTATAGTGGTATACTTTGCCAAAACGTTGCCATCTTCCCAGCGCTAGTCAATATGCCACATTCAGTGCTCATTTGTGTTGCAATTCTTAAATATCAGTGGTTTGTTTTATAGCTACTAGCTTGAAAGTTGCATTGCATATTAATAATTTATTACACTAGCTGTAAATTGACTTGGTAGTTTTCTTTTTATAGGAACTGTCTTGAATTGCTTTTTTCTGAAATCACTGAATTTGTGACCCTTTCATAGGTGAGACTGGCTTGGGGGTTTTGCTTTTAGGCATAATAAAGCGGGTTCTGCCATTCTTAATCTATGCTTTTTGCACTGAATTTTCTACCTCCTGATGCGCATTAAAAGATTTGTCACTCTTACATTTACTTGTTGACCCATCTTATAATTTGGGGCTCTTCTGAGTGAGTTTGTAGGTGGTTGAATCACAGTTTTGAATTTTTTATTTTACTTTTGAATTATTTTTATAGTGAGTAAACAATAACTTTTGTGAGAAAAAAACCCATCTGGTACACTGACATATAAAAAGCTGACACGTTATTGGGATCCTAAACTGTGACCTATCAGTTGCTGGGAGTTGGATTTGACAGCAGCTGACAATAACGAACTGCCCTCTCGACACAGGCACCAATTTAGAGGCAGGGTGTTAGCGACTCGCTGTCAGATAATGCACCCTGCTGTTACATAAACGTTATTAAAATATATTTATACACAGCCCAGACTTTTCATGGTTTTTTAAGTGTATTTTTCTTAGCTGAAATAATACAGAAAATCTGGGTTTATTCTTCAGTGATGCTTCTGTTATTTAAAAGAAGAGGAAACCCGGCAGTGCTCTCTGCAGAGGTTGGGAGCACATAACAGGCTCTCCAACAATAATCACCCTAGGAGTTCTGTACTCCCCACCGTACGTTTTTCAAATTATTTATGAATATATGAATGCTGAGACACCCTATGGCACTGCATATTAATGTCTTGTCTCAGTGCTTGCTGTGGACAGCTGGGTTAAAAGCCCCTGCCCAAACAAGCTTGAGAGAAAAACTGGAGAATTTTGGCACATTTCTAGATTCTCATAAAAATTGTTTCCTTAAAGACCCCATCACACACACACTCTAACAATTTTATTTATGTATTTATGGTCAGTATTAGTGCCTGTCTTTGTTAGCATTAATTTTATTGTATTCTGCAACTGATTTTAAAAGGGAACATACGTGAATATTCTGGCTATTTGACCAGTTTTTAGTACCAAATGCCTATAAAGTGATCCCAAATAATTACTTGCATGTGGGAGGCATTTTTAATGTCTCAAAGAATATGAATCACATGTTTTATCTCACTATCTTCTCTCTTTTCTG